ATCGCAACCTCAGCCAATTAACGACTCGACTCCAAAGCGCCGCCGACCGCCTCGGCGATTGGTTCCGCAAATGGAGAATCGATATTAACCCAGAGAAAAGTGTGGCGATTCACTTCACCCGTAGCACCCCCCAACCCCCATCCGCCACACCGTTACAAAGGTCCTCGCCAGTACAGAAAGTTGGGGCAAATATCACTATACGGCCAAACTCTCCCCTGGGAGAAAACGGTCAAATATCTAGGAGTCACTTTCGACTCGCGTATGACTTTCACTACGCACATCAATCAAGTCCGAAACAAAGCCGCGTTCGTCTCCGGCCGGCTACACAATTTAACGAATAAACATAGTAAAATGCCCTTAAGGCACAAATTATTGTTATATAAAGCTTGCGTAAGGCCAATCATGTCCTACGCATGCATGATCTTCGCACACATAAATCCTACGCGCATTGACGAATTGCAAGTAGTCCAAAGTAAGTTTATCCGCCGCGCAACCGGTGCGCAATGGTATCAGCGCAACGTCGACCTGCACAGCGATTGCAGACTCCCGACGATTCGCGCTCATTTTAAAGATTTGACAAAACGGTTCTTCGATAGAGCCCAGCATCATCCCAACCCTCTGGTGGTAAGCGCAGCAAACTACCTACCGGACACTAACGCGAACGTTAACAAGCGTCGCCCGCGAAACGTCCTCATCGACCCGGTCGACGAAGAGGACTTAGACACGATGGACCCACCGCCGGGGGTCCCGCCGGATAACACTACACCCACAGTTAGTGTAACAACAATCACACCAGTTCGCCCTCGCCTCCGAGCACGGCGAGACCCACACAACGCGTACACAAGGTACACCCGCGTTCCGGGGCGGTTCTCACCGCTCCCAGCCACCGATTAGCTAAATGCACAGTCGACGGCCGTCGGGGTCTCGGTCCGAACCGGCGACCTCGACGGCCCTCAGATGACACACCATAGTAGTTAAACGCACGCATGAGCACATGCGCGACCCTACCCATAGCGGAGGGTCCAAACCCGTGGGTTCTGGCTAGCCCACCGGTTCTGCGTCCGATGAAGCTTTAATAGTCTCGGGACTGAAAGCAAAAACATCAGTTAATACAAGGTACAAGTGGTAGATCATGCCAAAAAAATGAGAAGATGGCTAGGTGCCATCAGCTTGGGATACTATAATCTAAAAATATCAAGCATACTAATTAGTTATTTAGACCAAATTAATTAGTGAGACCAAATATTTTGCAATAAAAAAAGAACATTAACCACACCATGTATTTGACGTACAAACGCATTTATTATATTCCTTTGTATATACAATAGTTCAGACTTATCATATAAATTGATTATGGTTGTATTCGACCACTGTGCGGCCACTACTATAAATAAATTTATCTTTTGATATTTGTTACGGACAGTGCACAAAGCATTTGTTACGTAGCGTAGAAAATGAATTTATAAAACCACGCATGCGGTTTTATGCTAACAAATTTTAAAGCAACCCTTTCAACTTCACGAAAAATATCAAAGCTCATACTGCATGTCTAACTAGAGATATTTTTAACAGTCAGTGAAATAAATAATAATATTTCATACTGTTTCCGAGTGGAACAGTCGAAATGTTGGTAGCCCGTAGCAGTTTTAGGCGCCCTACAAATTTTCGCATACAAGAATTATATTACTTTCTCGTTACATATCCGATGTTATGTTTAAAATTGTTATTATTTGTCACCATGCTCAGTTGCTATATCTATGAAATAAAGATGAAGTGAATATAAATAAAAATAGAATGATTTATTGAAATAATTATTGATGCTAAAGTGGATGCCACAAGCAGTAGTGGAGAGGTATCCAAAAAAAGAAGAAAATAATTTCCGGCCTACGAGCTAGCCTATCTCTGGAAAAGCTTTGGCAACCGGAACCTATCCTATTTAATATATTACTTCTTGTCTGACTAGTGCCTCCCTCGTACCTATAAGGAGTTTGGATATTCGTAGGCAAAACTTTTTGCGATACCATGTCCTCTTTAAATATGAATAGCTTTATCGACTCCAAAAATAATTCAACTACAAATGTCCATTACACAACATAAATGTATGTAACATGTAAATGTAACAATTCTTTATTAGATTTTTTAAAATTTTGTATCTTAAAAATGTTTAAATTAAACTAGACACGATCAAGGAAGCAAACAAAATTAAACACCGGTGACAACCCTTCGTGTGTTGTAAATGTCCATAGGGGGGTTAATGACATAAGCATAAAAAAAAGAAAAAAAAATAGTTAAGGAGAACGCACAGAAACCTTTAAATATTGTTTCTAACGCACGTGTGGAAGAGCCCTTACTCCGAATGTGTATTACCGACTAGAGTCCATGTTTTATTTATTCGCATACGTCTACCGTGGAAGTGGTTGCATTAGGTCCGAAAACTCCTTTTTGACTTTTACACTCGCCCGAGATACGTCGCGCTATGAACGTGATTTCCAAATATAATCTTGCTACAGATGTTGCACGGCATTTTATATATCTGCGGGTTTTCATTTGCTTTTCTGTGCAAAATTGCATTTTGATCGAAAATTGTTTTAATAGCCCATGGACTGAAACAGTTTCCATTGTATCAAAAAGTCGCGTACAGTTCCTAATATATTATCGATTCACATTGGGGAAATGGATTTCAAATGAATGCTTTAATAAGAAAACTCTAGAATTATTGAGATCCCTTTCGTGGTACATTCCTTCCTTCCACATTACGGAGAAAACTATTCTATTTACTGCGTACACCATGCACTAAGAGCTATCACCGTTGACAGCCGACCTCAATGTCACCGTCCTCATACCGACGTTTCCCTGCTCGTGAGGATTGCCAACTTTTTGGAAAAATGAGCTTGTGACTTTTTTATTCTTTTAAATCACATTTTTGAGCGGTTTTATCAGTTAATAATTTATTTACATCTTTGAAAGTCTTTTAGTTTCACTTCAATTGCATTACCGAAATAACTCTCTCAATTGAAACAGTAACAGCGGTACCTGAAAGTGAATCATTATCTCAAGTAAACTGATATATGAAGATAAAGAAAGTAAAAAATCTCTAACAGGATTGAAAACTACTGTTGCACCAATTATATCGATAAACTAAATTCAAGCATAAATTAATTTTGAGCAAATTTCTTCTAGTTAAATGATTCGGTGTATTTTTTAAACGCAGGAGATGAATAATTAGTCTCATTTATATTTTGCTTAATTCGGAACAAATAGAAAGCCACCAACGTAGATAAATTAAATTATCCAGGTAGTGCATTTGAGTAATTCGATGAAATTGTAATAAGCGCATACTTTTTGATCCCCGGATAAAATGTAAAAGGCGAGAGGCGCCCCACCGGACGATACAAAGAACTAAGTTTACTAGAACGTACAATGCAGTTTTCTTATAAATTTTGCTCATTTACTATTATATTTTACTGAACTAACGGTTTATGGGTTTCAGCATTTTCATTTTATTCATTAGAATTGATAAATTATTCTGAATATCTATTACATTTAGAAATAATTCCTCCATGATGCTTGCAGGCGAGTACGCATCAACGTCGACGGAGGCATGGTGAATAGGTCAAAAGAATATTTCTCCTAAAGGAAAAATAAGCAAAAGCTTAAATAAAAGCTTCCATAGAGACATGTTTTACTGCATTTTATTGCAATATAAGATAATTATTATATAATAAGTAATTTAATGTTTTTAGTCGACTGGTACTTACTACTACTTTAACAGGGGTGGGGTTAAAAATTAAATATTTTCGTCCCGTGACAGAGACAGTGAATCTTCTAATGAACTTTAAGTATTTTGCGTAACTTTAAATGGAATAATGAAACAATTTCAAGGTGGCCATTTCCAGATTGGCTCTAAGTCGACGTCTCCCATCTCCGGGGCGCCCTGGTCGCAGGCTTAAACTAATTAGGCCCCCTGGACTGTGTCAATGTTGTCGCAGCACGCGGCTCGGTTTAATGCGTGCGTCTCCATTAGCTCCACCCTCGGCCGAACGTGTACACTGACAATTCGCTAAAATTGATTTGTATGTTTGCAGTGAGGGCGCCTCTTTGTAGCCCGGCCGAAGCACGTGCCCGGAGGATCGCAATTTGTACCAACGTACTCACGAAAATCGCGTTAGCGCACTCGATCTTGTTAAATTAACGATCGTTTATTGGCGCCCAAATGAAGTGTGTGTCGTTCATTAATGGGATGTTTATGATTCTTATCTTAAGGTGTATTTTTTTATGATATTTTTTCTATGTTTAAAATATTGTTCTTACTGTAGACTTACATACATTTCACGTCGACAAAACCCAGATCCTAAGCAAGTGCAAAACGCAATTACTTTGTTTTACTATTGTGAGTCACACAAATAGTAAGGTACGTTTGGGAACCGAAACCACAACCCCCAGCGCCATAGCCAATACTTTGGCAACTGCGCCACGGAGACATCATATCTTAATCTTACATACACAGTGATAATCTTCATCAATCATCATAGCATATCCATGTTCGTGATATATTTAAAGACTTCATGGTGACGCTATTTATAGAAATGGAATTAAGTCTAGAAAGTGGTGACATATATCTTAATGATCATTAAACAATCGAAGTAAAGTAATATGGCCTCGTTAATGTGTGAGAACGTTTATGTTCTAGTAATTAATCTATCAAGCTGCGTTAAACATCTGTTATCCTGGATATGCAATCTCAATGTGCTCCATACGACATTCCAATGCATCCTCAACTGTTTTGTTGAAATATGCATTTAGAATCTGGATTAATTTAGAGCAGGTATTTGCTGTAAAATTATTTAATGGTATAGCATCACATAGTAATTATAAAAATAAAAATATTACTTATAATGTTTTGCTAGAAAAATGTCATGTACAGATTTATAAAAAGAGTATAAGCGTTCACAATGCGTTCAAGAACGCGTACATCGGAGATATATTTAAGTATAAAATCAACTGTTCTTCGTGAATATTAAAACTAAGTAGTTCAGCCCCTTGCCGCGTTCGCTTTGAAAGTGTATGGTGACGCTGTTGAAGCCGACGCCGCCCTCCGTGACCGTGGCGCTTGCGTCCGTACGCGAAAGGTCGCGTGCGATTATGCCCTGTAATTACAAAGGAGCAATTCATTTGAATTTCGAATGGGGTAGCTTTAATTTTTTAAGTTTTGTTTTTTAAAATTTCATAGCCATTCCTTGTGCCAGTAATAATATGCTGGATAACTATTTTTGAGTATTTTTTTCTTTTATTTCGTTGAATAGATAACAATATTGAACGCGATTATGCTCTGTTATTGCAAAGGAGTTTATTTGAATTGAATTTGTTATGTTACATGTGATTTTAATTTTAGAGGTGTATTTTAACAAATTTATATTGACACGATATTATAAATAAAAGATAACGAGTAAGAGATCGTCTTCTGTATATGTTAGTGTAAAATCTTATATTTTGTAAAAACACAATCTGACCATGATTTTCAATTCAACGAAATAATTATTTTATGTACGTTTAGCGATAACCTTTACAATGTTGTCCACTATCATCGATTACTTGATTAAAATGGGATGCTTCGCGTGAGTTCCCAAATTTTTACATCAAATTTGGATCGATGCGAAACTTATTAAATTCTTCACTTCTGGACAAAGGAACGGCATTGGGACGAATATCTTTACCCGAATAACTTCAACAGGGGTAATGATTATTTTTAGAATTTCATATAACTGTTGTTAGAACCTCATCATCCATGAGAAATGTCGGAACTTTCGATTCTTATAAGCACATTCATAAATTCATAATTTTATATTCTATTTTTTTTAACCTTCATCAAATAATTATTCGATGCTCTAACAAGGGATAATTTATTTTTGAAGACGGCTTTTAATTATTTTATTAAAATGTACGTGTTTGCTACGATCAAGTAAGGGTAAGTTTAATGATAGTAAACTCTATTAACATTGATCGTTGCGATTTACAGAGTTTCTATTCATAACAAAAGTTGGTAGTACTATCAGAAACATTAATCAACGGGTTGATATAAGTGTTCTATTAATATTTGTTTATATCTTGCAGCTAATAACCACTTACGGACTTTTGGCACGCACTCTTTCATTCAGAGAATGGGTATAGTGTCAAATGAAGCGTGAGACATGCTATTAGATATTCATTCGTTATTCATTTGTCATGTCATCATTTAATTGCTCGTTGTCTAATATTTGTCTGGTTTCCTGTTAAAACAGGATCCACCTTTTAAAGGGTTCTCAATGCATCTATAGGTGTTGCAGATATCGATTTATGGCTAATAATTTAAAACCAGGATAACCGCCTGCTCGCTTCACAATTTGTCACATTAAAAAAACAGATTTTTTGTTTCTATATTCATTTTTTGTTTCTATAGACAGCGAAAAGTATATCGTCCAGTTTTTGAACTACAAATTACATAGCGACCACCAAATGTTTATTAACATTTCGAGTTTACGTGATTATTTTATAAACTTTTGTAATAATAAATATGCATTTATTATTATCGAACGATTTCGAAATATCTTAAAAGAAGTCTAGTTTCTATGTTTAAATATCTTGTGTTTCTCATATTTTTTTAGTTAAATCTATGACGTATTGTTATTGTCATTTTCTAATAGTTTTTCTAATTCCGAATCATTATCGCAATTTAGATTTCTCACTTGAAACAAGACAAGTCTTCAACTGTCTACTTGTCATTTTGTTGTAAATCTTTCAGAAGTCCTTTCATCACTGTCATCCTTTTGGCCACTCAAATGCACATTTGAGAAGCCATTTAACAGCGGATTAGTTAATTTCTACGATGATCAGTGGTTCAGAAACCGGACGTTAGTTTTTTCAAATCCTAATGTTAGATTTAGCCCAGGCTACCGTCAATTATTTTATTATATTCATATACATTGTTAATATAGGTTTAAGTTAAGAATTGTAAATGAATATATACAAAATTCAAAAACTATTATCAGCATGGTCTCTGGTATGACTCATTTGTTGAAGAAATTCCCAGCACAATCACTGACTGTCAATGTAATAGTCGATATACTCGGATGAGAGCGTTATTTATAATATTTAAATTACTCACCTTTATAATCCTGCGAAGGGGATCTTTGTAAGTATAATCTTTATCGCGCCTTAACAACGGTAAAGCGTTGTAAACAACTTTCTCCGTCGATATCAACAGATTATTCACTCTCGTGCCGACCACAAGGTCTTTAGCTTCGAATAAACTTACGAAAAAAGCCAAAAGAAGCAGCGTATAGATTAAAAGTCTCATTTTACTAGAGTGCACTTAAAGCATTTTAGGTTATACGTCAGTTTTATACGGATATGTGTATCGAACTGAGACTCTAAAGGAAAACGTTATGTTAATGCTAAACATAGTTTGACCTTGCCGCCTTAGTGTCGTTGTGTTGATTATTTAATATTGGCTTGCGGCCGCGCAACGCGATGTCGTGTTTGTTTACAAAACATCTCGTCCAAAGCTCTTAGTTTGAATCAAAACTCTTAGCTATAATCGGAATTAATAATATCTGGATGCTTAATATCAGACTGACGAGTACTCTTATGTATTGCTTGCCTTTGAAGCGTCTAAAGTCTAAAATCAACATTGGCGTTTTATTTTCTAATAGGGTATTAAAATGATAGATAGATATTTGACAACAAAGAGATAAGTATTTTATACCTTTTATTGAAGACTGCAGTTCAATAGCAGGTATATAAAATCTGATTTGCTCTATGTATTCCCTATAAATAAATAAACGGGCCAACTTGCTTGCGCACGTATAAAGCTATTTAATTTCTTCACAGTTTGGAATCCTCGCCGCGGGGAGAAACTTTAATAAGGCCGATAATTGCGAGCGATATTACATCTAAAACGTTATTAATCACGGACAAATAGGATTTATTTCACTTAAACACTTTCCGAGCGTGTTTTAAATGGCAAAGCGTCAGTTACGGTAATTGAAACAAATGCGAATTCGCGAAGTGGCTTGTGTAGTTTACTAATTTCTTTTAGTTGCATACAAAAATGAACAAAAAACACTTTCTTGTAGATGTACGGATACATCACGTCTTTTAATATTTTGTAGAATATAATATCATGTTTAATATGCATCTTTAATATAGAGAAAGAGCCACTTTCCATGTCCTCTGTAACCGAGGTGGGGTCTCGGGGTTAGAGGAGTATTGGTGTTACGTTTGGCCGCTCTCCCTTTCCTCCGAAAGTCGGCGTGGCAACACCGCTGATGCAGTCGTGGTGGGGCCCGTGGGGTGAGAGGAGGAGGGTCGAAACATAGTGAGCGTTGGAGCCATACACCAGGTTGGGAGGTTTTCTGCTTATTAGCACTGGCTCTACTGATTCTCATGACCTTTCCTCCATGCTAACAAAAAAAGGTGGTTCCCTTAATGATTGCTGACGCCCAAGTTAATCTAAAACAACAAATTTAGATTAACTTCAGTTATGGATGCGTCGCCAACCTTTAAAAAAGATTTAATTATTCTACTTCACGTTTGTTCTCTGTGAGGCAGTGGTAGAAGAACAGCAGGATATACAATGAAAATAATGATGTTTCTATTAAACTGAAGAGACATTCTTTTTGTACGGTTATTAAAAATATATTTTGAAGTCTCAATCCGATTTACTACGGACAAAATAATTTGAGCATATTCGTCTCCGTCGCCGGATAACTGTATAATTCCGGCACGGGAAGATTAACTGCCGGCCAGCCAGATTTCCTTGCAGCGCGTTTAAAATAATTACCAGTTATACACCTACGGGATAGCAGTGCGGCGAGCTGCTTTGTGCATAAATAATGGAGCGCCCCGGGCGACACGAGGACGTACGGTCCAGCTACTGTGGAGATTCGGCTCGGTACAGATAATGTAGATGCGGTAACAACAAAATCGACATCGATCTACGCGCAATTTCGTACCGGTAACAACAGAACATCGATATCGATAATGTTCAAGTCGCCAACAAACTATCGACATCGGTGTACGTGCGATGTTGTACCGGTAATGACAGGACGATATCGATAATGCTCTACTGTTGGTCGTAAACGTGTGTCCGTTTGCAGCCTCAGAGTGTAGAAGGCGGGAAAGTGATGCATGAAGTTGAGTAAGGTACTGTGAAGGATTAATGCACCGTGAAGATTTATTAAATGAAGCGTAACCGCTGCTGAGAATCGATAGAAATGAGGTAAATTTAACTTTCTTATGGTAGACAGTACCCAGAAAAGTTATAAATAGTTAGTATCTATTGAAATGTTATAATGTTTTTATGAACGTGTTGTATACAGCTGATTTTCAAACATTTAACTCATCGTAAGTCTGGGGGTTTTGGATTGGCAGTTGTGTTGCCTATAATGTGATTAAGCTATGCAATATTTTCTGATATCGCAAAAAAAGACTGGGTCGCCTGAAGACATGCCACGGGTTTCGTCTATTCTCAGGATTCCCATAAAGAAGAGTATAGGTTCTGGGTACCGAAATCTCTTGTTGGAATCCAGTAATTTTTTTATGTGAGAAAGTGGCAAATGACCTGGCGGTTCATCTGATGTTAAGTGATAACCGCCGCCCATGGACATTTGCCACACCCGCAGGGTTGCAAATGCGTTGCCACCTTCAAATAATGTGGGCCCCGGCTACTTCACCAGACGAAACGCAGAAGTGTAATACTTCTACGGATACTAGAGGTCGTGATACTTACCCGGACGGACCTGCCCATTCGTGCAACAGTGAACAATGTTGCATGGTCCTACCACAGTAGACTTATAAATTAGGTCAAACTTCTAAAACGCCATGACATTTCTCCTGATGACGTGTCTTATTGGTCTATCAGAAATTGTAACGTAAACCGTTATTGTTCTGCCTTGTAAAAAGTTTTAACGTTAAATTTCAAAATTCATTGCATAACATAGAGTCGGATTCACAACTGTGACAATTTAAGAGAGCCTCATCAACAGATTCATTCCCGTAATGCCAAACTTTCAAAGCCGTAAAGATGAAGCCGTAATGATGAATAGGTGCTCTGTATGAGGACTCATTTAAACTAGGTTTTCAGGGTTTCATAGTTATATGAAATAATTCAAACCTTATACGCGCGCGGTAAGACTGAAAATTGCATGGAGCTCAATTAATCGAGTAATAACAGGCTAGAAGTCACGGCATTCCATTTAAGCTTTGAATTAGCGACTAAAAAAATGTTGAAAAATATACTTTCCAAGAGAAAGACTTTTGAATTTCTCTTTATGAAAATAATGTAGAGTAAAAATTTAGAGCTCAATTTTAAAGAATTTAAAAATATGGGTACGCAAATTCCGTTTAGGATAAGGTTACTTCATTATTTAAAATTTTGTTTTTCTTTGATCTACAAAGAAGATAAATTACCTCGGATAAAAAAATGGATAAATTGCGTAATGAAATAGACACCTTAAAATTTAAAGTATTTACATCCAAAAAATAATTAAAATTACCACTCAAACAGTTCAATGTAATTGTTTAAAAAAAATGATAAAAGTAAATGCAGATTATTTGTGGTACAAATAAGAATGTGCGTAACCTGACAGAGCGTTTTATGGACGTGCTGTTTATTTAATCTATCCCCCACATTTACTGCTTATTAAGGCGTAAATAAAATCAAGACAAGAGAAATATGTATACCACTGTGTACTTAAACACTTTCTCGTCCTTTGATATGGCAACGCATACATTTACTACAATACAGTGACAGTAAGTGCTTTATCCGTGCGTTTGAAATGCATTAGCGAACGAAAGTACAGCATTGTTGAAGTAGTAGGTTTACACGGACGCTTCGGCGGGGAGAATTATTTAAATAACCCACCGGGAGAGCAGTGTATATGGAGCAGTGAGATGAGCCGAACTGGATGGATAACTTTGTTTCGCCGGCCGGTGACAAGTGCATTTGGCTATTTCAGTCCCGACGCGTCGCATCATACGCTTTGATGTTGCGGGGACTTTTTGCCGGGCGAGGGCTTAAAGCGAAGACATATAACTCAAACAGGAACGCGTTACTCTTTTTGATTTTATCGAAACGCGAAACAGACCCTTAGGCAAAAGCGTTGTCTGACTTTTTGTATGCGCGTTCATCATTAGTGATGTCACCAGCTGAGCTCTCGCGTTCGTGATGTTGGTACGGATTACGTTAGGAGAACTCTTTGAAAAAGCCTTTCATGGAAATTGAAAAGCTTTGCGCGAAAATGCGGCGTGGAATGTAATGCCAAAATCGTACCGAATGAGACGGTCCTTTTAAAAGAATATTCAATTACTTTATCACATCTACTCTAATTACTCGACACTGAGGATCTTTGCAGATTCATATTAAAATTGTTACTTTAATATTATATGTGTTTGTGTTTGTATCCAGTTTATTAAAATTATTTATTACATATTGTTAGATATTAACCTCTAGTTTCACTTTTATAAAAAGCCAAGTCCTTTATTAGTACAATTAGAATGTACTGAATTCGAAAAAGAAGTAACCTGCAACAGATAACATTTTTATTGTTTGTAAATATAACCCGGCTTTATTTCTTCATTCAGCTTTTATTGGTTCATTGTATACTAGATTTAAATGTGTATCAACTCAACATACATGTAACAGAAGCATTTCTATTTTAAAATTTCATTCGAAGCGCCCGTAGGAATGTTAAATCGAATAAAAGGCATGCGCCGAGAGTTCCATTTAGCTTGATTGAGCCAGGAATACAATAGAGCTAGGCCGGTCGATATTGTTGTCGGAGATTTTGGGATGAATTGTTGTAAGTCGAGCGAGCATTGTTGGATAAACGCGGATGTATTTCAAATATTGGTCATAACTTGTTCTGATAGCAGTCGTCTATGACGCAGAAGAGGTAGAGATAACGAGTTACTTTCGTATTTTTTCGTGCATAAAGCGAAAATGTCGTCGTATAAATTTATTTAAACTGTATTGGTGTACTTATCATCAGCTGATTAAGTTCTATATTTTATATCAAACATTGTTTACAATGTTTTAGATAGTAAATACAATAAAAAATTATCTAGCCAACCTACTCTACGTGTCTTGATAAAAATTCTGGCTGTATTTATTCGCTGACATATCTTTTAATCATCAAATCAATCGGAAAGATGCACAACAATGGTCTATTGAAATCATACAGATTTCTGTTTAACAAAAGGAAATTGTTCTAATTCCAGTTTTAGCAGAATAAACGTACAAAATGTGAAAAGATGCTAGTAACCTCGCTGTGGAGACCTAAAATTCCCTCATAGAAACTGTGGTGACATACAGATGACATACCGAAGAATTTTCATATGCGTTTCATTGGAATTAAGCAAAGCATCACTCCATAAATAATTAAAAACCCATGTGGTGCGTTGAAACATTGTCCGTTCGGGAATCCATCGCTTGAAATAATAAACGTCGCGTGGACGGGCGTAGCGCGAGCTTAAAATATCGCTGCTCATATAATATGGGCATAATTGAGTCAATCGACTCCGAGCGTCCGAAATGGACGTATCGGTCCGTCCCCTCTCGTGGGCGAATTGATATTTCCTCTTTCCAACGAATAGGTACATAGTTAATTGCGTTTCCGGACGCGGCTCATTGTTTGAGTGGCGGCCTGTGACTGATGCATTAGCGTCTCATTATTAAATTACCGAACAGGATAACCGTATGACATAATATTCGTGATTTCATCCGGTGCCTTGCGATTTCCCATTATAGATATGGGATGATTTCGTATTCACACGATTGATTTCAATCCTTGACAGCTCTTGAATTATTTGATTCCAAGAGCAGACGATACACAGTGTGACAGTGCGATATGGAACTGACACTTTCCCGCCTGTCAAATTATATTCAGAGGGCTTGAGGGATGAAATTGTTAAGCGATTTTGATACGTAATATCTAATTAAGAATTAGATAATTAAGAGAAGATTAATTAAGAATTAGATATTCGAATGTTAGGAAAACGATAATTTGCACAAAGATAAATTAGACAATAGCAGTAAATCAGTAAAAAGCAATCAGCACAATTGCATAACAAAAATGAGATATTATATATTTTTACCTTACCATCAACGGCTGCATCGCCACTTACCATCAGGTGGGATGGCAGTCAAGTGCAGGCCAGTTTTTAATTAAAAAATAATAATTATATATCTATCCTTTTTGGTTTATATATATCTTAGATTAAAATACGTCATTATTACATAAATAACAGAATTCAAAAATATAACATTTATTGATATTGTAATGTTTCATCATAATAATAAAGTAAATCTGTATTTTTTTATGTTTTTGACGTCATCTATTTAATATAACCTTAAGCAGGTACAATGAAACGGTGGCAAATACTTTTAATATCAACAATAAAGAACATTTAGTTTAAGATTTACTAAATTCTATCTTTTTGTAACATTAGTACAGATGCACAAATTAAATGCTTATTATTAACCAGAGACAATGATTGGCATGTGAGTCAGCGGACACACATAAAATTGTCTGTTGGCAATGCAGGCTAAAATTCGAACAGTATGAGCGACAGTTTTTAGTAAAATGAACCTTATGTGAAATGCATAAAGCTTAATATTAATATTTAACATTCGTGTACATTGGCATCTATTCCGGCATATGTCAACTGCTAATTGTTTATCAATAAATTTATTCTTGCGTACGTTTTGATATTTGTTTGATATAATTCAAAGTTATTTTATAACGTTTGTTTGTATAATATAACATTATATTATTGAGTTAATTTTTATGTTGAACGTCATATAGTACTTTTTTTCATATTACCTACGTGACTATGCTAGGAATATAAGTCTCGGTAAGCTTTAAGCGATCTTTGAGTTTTTCTACTTCGTTGCAGATATTTTTTTCATTTTAAGGGGATGGGGATGGACTGAGCGAGCAATCAAGAGACCTTACCTTCACCTTATAATAATTGAGGACCGCAGGTCACGGCCATTCGTTACAGCTAGCATGTTTTAAAATAATAAAAAAAATATTATGTGATGTCCGTCAATCCACAGTGGAACACAGTGAAACAGCAGTGGGATATATTTAGGCTGGTTCTTTTCTCTTTACGACGATCTTCTGTGAGCACTTTTCCGGTTGATATAGTCGGATATAGTGTTCTACGATACTGCGGGTCCCTCCGCGTTTTTTGAGTGGTTACCATTTTTGACATAATCTACATGTTTTATTTTCTACTTCTCTTAATAATCGCACTGCACAATACATTTTACATTTTTGTCTCGTAAAATTGTTTATAATTACTATTAAAATTGTTTATAATTTTTAATTACTATTTTAGGGCCAAATTTATCTATTTTATTTTGTTTCTTTACTAATAACTTTTTTATTCGTAAATTTGTGTAACATCGTGTAACATGTTTCTATTTAAAATTTGTTTTGGAAACGTGATGTGTTTTGATTTTAATTTTCAATTTGTCATCTATATTTCATTTATTGTGCTGTTTGTTTTACACCGACTTCAAAAAGGAGAAAATTCCCTATTCGATTGGCATTTTCTTTTGTATGTACTTGTCAAAATAGTTAATGTTTTCGTCTATGTCTAAGAAACCTACTGCTATTCTGTTGTCCATCAATCATACAGTACGCGCTGGTCGGAAAGTTAAGGCCCATTTACACGGTGCCAGTTTCTTGCCTGTTGTATACAATTAAATTGAAGCAATAAATAAGTTGCATGGTCTAAACAACAAATGGTCTAACCAATTATTGCGCGCAATTTATTGCATTCAATTATTGCTCTTGCATGTACAAGAAAATGGCATCGTGTAAATGGGCCTTTATGCGCGGCTCGCAATAAATCGCGTGCGAAGCGGAACCGTCACGACATTGATTCGGTCTATCGTCGCTTTGACATATTGGTTTTGAATTCATTAAAATTGGCACCAGTCCGTAGGGCGGTTGGCTTCGCATTCAGGGACGTGTCATCATTCAGTGCCAGCGGTAACGCATCCGTGGGTCAATGAATGTGTGTTTTGGCCGCCAAATTACCAGTATTCCTCCATGACGCCACGCGTGACTTTGCACCTCAGTGGAAGTTTCTGTGATTTTATTGCGTTCATTATTACTTATCACTACATAATAATAATAATAAATAATAAAAAACTATATTTCTCACCACATCGGTTTGTACAATTTATAGAATATACAACTAAATTTAAAGTTCAAAGCAATGTGGGAGACTGATGCCTAAACTAAGTAAAGCCTGAATTTTAGGCCATCAGGTCCCCCTCCCAGTTATAAATATGTATCTACTGTAATTGAATTACAATTTGCCGAATACAATACATTCAATTTCAATAGAAATGTGCGCGTGTGTGTGTGTGTGTGTGTGTGTGTGTGTGTGTGTGTGTGTGTGTGTGTGTGTGTGTGTGCGTGCGTGCGTGCGTGCGTGCGTGCGTGTGTGTGTGTGTGTCTGCGTATGTATGTGTAGATAATTATGAGGTATAGGAAATAATACAAATTCTATGTCATTACACAAAGTAGGTCTTAACATAGTATATAACAAAGTCGTCCCGTCTGTCTGTCCCTATGTATGCTTAGATCTTTAAAACTGCGCAACAGATCTTGATGCGGTTTTTTTTACTAGATAGAGTGATTCAAGAGGAAGGTTTATATGTATAATACATTGCATCCGTGCGAAGCCGGGGCGGGTCGGTAGTACTTTATACTTTTATGCATGTGGTGTACAGTTGAGTATATCTACTGTGGTAGGCTCACGGCTACTGTAAATGGGTGGAGCCTCACGAAAGACCAGTTACATTGAAGTTGCCCTTTTCGCCTGGTGGGCAACGTAACGTAGACTTACTGTTTCAAATCATTGGCTACCCCACAGGTGATGTGGATGTCTTTTGGCGGCGGTAATCATTTAACATCAGTGAACTGC